ATCAGATGCTTTTAAACACTTAAGATACTCTGTAGCCTAGCATTTCAGATTTGCTTGAATGCTGTAAATACTTTGAAAAGGGGGAAAAAAAATGACTCAAAATACCACATTGATTAGAGAGCTGATTATCATTTTGGCAACAATATATAATATATTTAATTTTTAAAAATTCTCCTTACTTTTATTCTTATTTTAGCATGACCCTGGATTACATGAATTATACAAGAGACCATTTTTAATGCCGTTTCAGGATTTATACATTATTATCAGACTGGAAAGAAAAATGCAGATCCTCTCGTGGCTGTAGATTCTAGAGTGTTGACCTCTTAACTTTGGTTTCCTTTTGGGCATTGGGTATTAAATTCAGTGTTAATTAAATGTCTGGCCTTTATTTTAATCACATAGTCTTCACTTTTTGTCATGAGATCTGCATTCATTTACTATTGTTGCTGTAACAAATCACCATGAATTTAGTAGCTTGAAGCAATACAAATTTATTATCTTTCAGCTCTGAAGATCAGGAGTCTAAAATGGGTTCATGAGCTTTGTTCCTTTGGAAAGTTAGGAGAGAATCTCTTTCTTATCCATCTTTTAGTTGTGACTCCCTTCTTCCATCTTCAAAGTCAGCAGCCTAGCTCTATAACATCTCAAATCACTGACCTCCTGTCTCTCTTTCACGACTATTATGATAGCATAACTCCCACACCATGATAATCTCCCCATTTCCACATCCTGAATTTAATCATACCTGCATCCCATTTGCCATGTAAGATTACATATTCACAGTTCTGAGGATTAGGACACGGACATCTTTGGGAAGATTTATTATGTCGACTTGGTGGTGGTAGTGGTGACCCCATGTGACAGAGTTGGACTGCCCCATATAGCTTCATAGGCTATAATCTTTACAGAATCAGATTGTAATCTTTGCAGAAGCCAGATCTTTCTTCTTGAAGAGTGGATTCAAACAGCCAACCTTTCAGTTAGCAGCTGAGCTATTAACAATTATGCCATCAGGGCTCTTTAATCTTGTCTTTCATATAAAATCTGATATTTTAAGAAATGAAAATACGAGGTGTTTTTTAAGTTTTGTTTGTTTGTTGTTTTTAATATCTTGTAGTCCTTAACCTCTTTTAATATTTTATAATATATTAATCTGGCCTGGTTTCAATATTTTAAAACAAGCACCTTTCTTATTGGCATTGTCTTATTTAGTTGTGTCATCCAGAGATTTCATTCCCAGAGAGATGAGAAACTGAGTCTAAAATTTTAGATTTCTCTTTCAGGATGGTTAACTAATTTATCATTTTGGAATAAATGACTATATCCTGTTTCTAATTAGAAAAGTGGAAGGTCAAAGTAAAAGAGGAAGACCTCCAACAAAATGGATTGGCACAGTGGCAGCAGCAATGGACTTGAGCATAGCAATGATTGTGACTTTGGTGCAGTGTTGTGCTCTGTTGTAAATAAGGTCACTATGAGTCTGTACTGACTTGATAACACCTACTAACAACAGCAACAATTGGAAAGTGTGTATGGCAACTGATACCGATTAACTTTTGGACTCCTTTTCTTCTTCATTGTTACGTAGGATCACAAATGCTAATGGTACCTGTCCATTCACGGTATTGTTGTTGTTGTGTGACTCAAGTTGGTACTGGCTCATAGAACCCGGTATAGGGTTTCTGAGAGTGACTGATGGGTTTGAATTACCAATGTAGTGTTTAACAGTCCAGTATTTATCCTATAGTACCACACCATTGCTGATGTTGTTGTTAAGTGCTGTCGACTAGGTTCTGACTCATAGTGACCCTGTATAGGGTTTCTGAGGAGCAGCTGGTAGGTTTGAACCTCTGACCTTGTAGTTCAAGCCAACCTTGTGGTCCAGTACTTTATCCTATATTGTCACACCAAGACTCCAGCACCACACATTGACTGGTATAGTTCCTATTATTTCCTAGGACTATTTGGCTTGAGTGCCATTTTAATCTGTGCAGACCCAAAATTCTTTTTGGTCTGGACAGATTAAAATGGTACTTATCTATAGCATCAGAACAGAAACAAAATATCCATCAACACCTTTCTACTTGTTTAATAGATTAAGTTAAACCTTTAATTCATCTTTCTATGGTATTACCATTATATTTTGGTATGTTTTCTGTATGTTAACTCTTCTTATGAGCATCATGGCCTTTTCCAAGCATGTGTTTCCTTTGAGAATTTTAATTTAAATGATCACAATTTGACAAATGAGAGCCTTGCAGGTTGACTTTTGTTTTTCCTTTTAGCATTGTTATGGCCAATTTTCAAAAATTATATTTTATTTTTTTTGCCCCTGCCAATTTAAAAATCTATTTTGCTTTCTGGCAGCAACAGTATGTTCTAGACCTCCTCTGTTTTTATTTGGTCCAAAAACATGAAATTGACTATTTTCCAATGGTTCTTGGTTCCATTTTTGTAAAGAATCGTATTAAAGACCAAAACATGCTCCCTGGGGATGTTTACAATTATTTATCATAGATAAGACTACAGCTACAGCTATCATCCTGGAACTGTTCTTGGTAGTGATGGAGTGGTAAGGAAACACTTCTTTAATAAGCTTACAAGTTCTAATTATTTCTTCCAATATAGTATATTCCTTACTTTTTTTGTAGAATTCAGTTTCAAAATTTGCTAAGACTTTTCTCCTCTACACTGATCCCTTGTTCCACCTAGCAGCAGAGTATTCCCCTCTCCAACTACCTCCTTTCATGCACTGTTTTCTAAAACAATGGTTCTCAACCTTGTCTTCATATTGGAATAACTTGGGGAGCTTAAAAATATTGTTGTCTAGATCTCACCATCAGAACATCTGATTTAATCTCCCAATAGGTAGGCTTTCGTGTCTGGGATATTTAAAGTTCCATCAATGAATAATAGTATTTAACCAAGGTAAAGAAAGAACCTCTGTTCTGGGAGGTGCTCGCAATCTCAATAAAGAAGACCATGCACTAGCCCATGGAATTACACCACAGAGGTTCCAGGGACATCAACTTGACATTATAAACAGAGCAAACATATGCAAGTTTGCTCTGTTGCCTACTTTGCTATGGAAACTCCACCCCACCCCACCCCACCCCCAGTTTTTATTACAATTTGGGTGAAAGTTTACTGAGAAAATTGGGTTTCCATTCAGCAAAGCATACACATTTTGTTTTATAACGTTGAGTTAAATCCTCACAATGTAACAGCACTCACCCCACGTGTTCCCTGTGTTTACATTTGGACCTTCTTCCCCATCCCTTTCTGTCTTCTGAGCATTGTCCCTGGGCATAGGCCACCCTTCTAATATCTTATGGTTGATTGTTCTAAGGAGTGCATGCCTTCCTGCTGTTATTGTTCACCTTATGGCTCTATTGTTTGGATGAAAGTTGAGCCATGGAGATGAGTTCAGTTCCAGCCTTGAAGGCTGTTTTAAGACCATAGTCTCAGGGATTCTACCAATCTCTATCTGAAAAGTAAGCCTGGTCCTTTTTTTTTTTTTATTTATGATTTTGAGCTTTTATAGGTGATAAACCTACTTAACTATACGTGAAAACCATAGGAGATTGGTATCCTATGATCCAATAGGATAGCCTAGGCTATAACGGAAGTCCAATCTGCCTTTCTAACAATAAGACTCTAGAAGACCAACAATAATTATTAAGTCAGATTTTGTTAGCCTCTGTGCACACACTTTAGGAATTGATGCAAGTTTAAAGGAGTCTGAATTATGGCTTCTGAGGTCAAATATCCCCTGCCTATCTGTTTCTCAAAGAATTTTAGGTAGCATCAAATTAACCAATTCATCTAAAATAGGGAATCAATAGTATAGCCTTTAATGGGATATCTGCTTTCATGTGCGTTACTTTCCCATGATAGTTACAAGCCTACATTCTTATAGTATGAGGGATCGCCAAAGAAATTCATGGAAAGTCTGAAATTAAAAGACAATGGCATTTTTTCATGAACTTTTTGAGGCCCCCTTATGTGATGCACCAGTACAACACATCTGTACTAGAAAAGGGATTCACATTCAAATCTTGAAGAAAGTGGGACCACAAATAGCTGGGGTTCTTCCTATCAATTAAAGGTAAACCCTCTACAACCATGATCTCCAATCATTTTTGCTTGTGCTGAGGGACCACCCTCACTCTTACATGTGGAGAGACTTTAAAATCTAGACTGAAGACTTCCCTTCCAAAATTTTATTGTCAGTGGGTTTGAGGCAATGTGTTGTAATGGCAAGAACATAAACTTAAAAAAATGTGATGTTATTTATTTTGTTATTGTTGAGAATATAAACAGCAAAACAAGCAGTGAGGATCTGATGGGGAAAGGCTGATAGGGAGTCACAGAGCAAAGCCTGCCCATTAGTGAAGTCCCATGTCAGGCAGGAACGTTCCAGCTGTAGGATCCCCACAGTGCTGAATCATTGGTTAGGAGCTGCCCCAGGCTCTGAGCCTTTGGTTAGAGGAGCAGACTTGAGCAGGAATGCTCCAGGGAAGGACTGAAGTTGCCACAGCTGGAGGCTGTCAGCTACCAGCACTCTTCCAGGCAGGTTCTCTTTGAAGGGAGGTTTGGGGGGTGTCTTCCACTTTATAATGAAAGTGTGTTTTTTTTCTATGAGATGATGTAAAAGAAGACTAACCACATTAATGTTTCTCTGTCTCATTTTTGGTCTTTTATCTTTTAAGGGAGTCACATCTAATGGGTCCACAATTTCTTTCTCATCTCTGAAAAAAAAATAAAAAAATAAAGAGTAATATCCCTGGACAAGAAATAGTTGGAACAGCATCTGGCTTTCATAATGACTGTATGTTAGACATTTACTTTTAAATCTGTCATAGTGATAGGTTCTTAAACAGTAACTGTAAAAATTCTGATTTGTTAACATCTCTCATTACTGTTTAAGATCCCATATTAAAGGAAGAATTAAAAAGTATAATTAACTTGGATGATCTTTTTTTGGTTTGCCATAGAGTGTTGTCTAGCATGACAGATGCAGTGTTGGCACGAGTGTATAAACAGTCAGATCTGGACACCCTGGCTAAAGAAGCAACCATTCCAATTGTCAATGGGCTATCAGATTTGTACCATCCTATTCAGATCCTGGCTGATTACCTCACGCTCCAGGTTGGTTGATTTCTTTGTCTTATACAAGAGCAAAATCATCAAGTAGCTCCAGACTAGATTTAAATGGAACCATTTTTCTGAAATAATGGTATTGGTGTTTTGTTTTGGTTTCAAATATGATCCAGACAAAGAATTATAGCATATGTGTGCACACTAGATATCCAGAGAAAACAGGGCATTGTTGAAAACAGACTATAAAGTCCTTCTACTCTCAATTCTGATCCTAACTACTTTTAATCCCTCTCTCATCTGTTGTTCTTTCAATCCCTTTGCTTTTTGGTTCCATATTTAACACAATAGATGACAATACAGCATGGGAAAGCCTTATGTGAGCTTACATATGTCAGGGTCTGTGGCTTGGGGGTGAAGATGAGTGGAGTGTACTTTGAGTATTCAAAATTGTCAGTTATAGGCAGCCCTCAGTTTACAAATGCGATCCATTCCTAACTGTGTCTTTAAGAATATGTAGGTCAGTCCTAACAGGAATGGCCTTTTCAATGATTTAAAAGTTTTACTTAATTCAAGTGATGGTGATTGTGAAGAGGTTGATTCGATTGTTTTCAAAGTAAGGGCAAATTTACATAACATTCAAAGGCAAGTTGGTACTGTCCTTCAGACATTCATAATCCAGTGACTGCCTGTAGTAAACCATTTTTAGAAGAGGAGGGCACTTTCTTTCATTTTAATAAAGTGATTATTTAAGACTAAGGTTAAGAACATGCAGAATTTATAGAATTGGGGCTCAACTTTAGCCATATTCTCCCAAATTAAGAACTTGGATAATTTAGAAAGATTGCCCTCGTTTGCTTTGCCACAGCCAATCTGCAAGGTCTAATCATGTGAAATCTTAACAGCCCTGCTTTCTGTGTGTATAGATGATGCTGGCGAGACAGAGCAAACAGGATAGACTCATTGTTCTCTCCATTCGAATAAGCTACACACATGAAAATGTGAGGTTAAATCGAAAATTAATTTCTTCAGACATGGGGATATGATCCATCCAGAGAGGCTGATACAAGGATGTCACATACCAAGTAGCGTTTTGTGGGTGTGGCTTTAAGTACATAGCAGATAATTTAATGCTTCTCCCTGGGCTTTATCATTACTAGATTATAAATTCCTTGAGAGACAGTGAGCTGCCCTATTCATCATAGTGTGCCTTGCAGGGCCTTGCACAATGCCTTCGATATAGGAGGTACTCAAACTAGGAGTTGAATGAATAAATAGCAGCTTATTAAGAACAGGGCTGTAAATCAGATGGATCTGGATTGAAATCCTAGTTTAGACACCTGGTAATTCTGTGATCTCTCTTCCAATTGCTTAAACATTCTTTTTTTAAAAAAAATAAATCTTATCTTTAGAAATATATAAAATACATAAACTTACAGATATTTCAAGACTAGTTAAACACCCATATGTCCATTACATAGTTTTGTCAAATCTGAACATGATGGAGTAATTACTTTGGAATATTTTGCTGTTTCTAAATAAAATATTATAAATGCACTTGAAGTTAGCTGTGTAACTCTCCTTGGCCCCATTTCCTACCAGCAAGAAATTATCATCCTGATGTTTGCAATTGTATTTATAATTCTCAAGCATGAATGTATACTTGTAGTACACAATCAAGAGTATCACTGTGCATGTTTATAAGCTTTATATAAATGGGAACATACTCAGTGCCAGGTGCATTCTACTTCCCATTTCTTATAACGAAGAATGTAAACTCCCATTTCTTATACCAAAGAATGTAAACTCTGTTTACATTTGATAATAATTCTCCTTTGTTCAATATTTTATCTCCATGACCAATAACAATGTCTAGACATTGGTGGTACTCGACTTGTTTAATAAATGAAGAAAATTAAGATTCAGATTTGAAAGATATGAAAATATGAGTTTCCATATTAGTTCATACAATGTCTTGGTTGAAGATATTAAGTTACTTTACTATTGTTTTTCTGATTGTGCATTTTTTAAAAAAAATTCTGAGTATAATGCCAAAATAAATAGTAGTTTGTTCATTCCAAGAAGACATTAAAATTGAGATGAAAATGGTTTCCTTTATTTTAACCCTAGTTCTTATTGCACATAAGTGGATTTCCTCCTAGATTGAATCTCCTTCATCTCTTGCCTTGCAGGAACACTATGGGTCTCTGAAAGGCCTCACCCTCAGCTGGATTGGGGATGGGAACAATATCCTACACTCCATCATGATGAGTGCAGCAAAATTCGGAATGCACCTTCAGGCAGCTACTCCGAAGGTAGGGAATCCTTCTACCACTTATTTTTATTGCGGTGAAATTCATATAAAATAAAATTAGTAATTTAAGGTTAAAAGCTCAGTGGCATTTAGTACATTCACAATGTTGTCCAATCACCACCTCATAAGGTTCTCAGACATTTCCACTCTCCAAAATGGAAACCTGTACCCATTAAGCAGTCATTCCCATTCACCTTTTCTACCAGCCCCTGGTCACCACATTTTATTCGGTCTCTCGGGACTTACCTATTCTAGACATTCCGTATAAATGAAATCATACAATGGGTAGTCTTCTGTGTCTGGTGTTTTTCACTTAGCATAATGTATTCAAGGTTCATCCATGTTATAGCATGCATTAATAATCCATTCCTTTTTATGGGGAAATGATATTCCATCGTGCGTGTATACCACAATTGCTTATACATTTATCTGTTGATGGACATTTGAACTGTTTATATATTTTGCCTACTGTGAACAGTATCACTAGGAACATATGTACATATGCTTGCCTGAGTATCTCTTTTTCATTATTTGGGGCATATCTGGGAGTTGAATTGAATTATTTTATGGTAATCATATGTTTAACTTTTTTAGGAACCAGTAAACTCTTTTCCACAGTGGCCACACCATTTTACATTCCCACCATGTAAAATGGTATAGCCTTTCCATGATGTGAAAAGGTTCTAATTTCTCCACATCGCCTAACTCTCTCTTGAATTACCCACAGATACATTTACCCAGTGAAAACAAACCTCTCTTCTGCTCAAAGGGAACACCAATTGGGCCACAAATTTAGGATATTTTACGGCCCTGCTATTAAATAGCTAACTGGTCTCTTGAGTGCACAATTTCCCATTACTACAATAAGAGAGATCGTTTTGGCTGATGCTTTTCATTCTGTGAGTCTGTGTTAAAAGCATGTCAGAATTATCCCTTTGAATGCCCTGAATACAGTCATTATGATGACTAGCATCTTTGGGGATTATCACCACAAAGTCTGAAGAAAGCAACAAAATCCGGACCGAATAGTATTCTCAGAACATGGGAAAGATGTGGTTATTTTTCTAATATTTCACTTTGGCAGAAAAATGTCAATCCAATGTGAAGGTTGCCAGCTTAGTATTTCAAAGAGCAACTCCAGGGGCCTTGGGGCTTTTAAAATCTGAGTTCCACATGGCTGTGAAGATGAAGCCTATATATTTCCTGGTGGTGGTGGTGGTGGTGGTGTGCTGTTGAATTGATTCTGACTTACAGCCACCCTGCATAGAGTTTCCTGGACTGTAAATCTTTGTGGGAGCAGAAAGTCTCATCTTTCTCCCATGTAGCACCTGGTAGACTCAAATTACTCACCTTGCAGTTAGCAGCCCAACATGTAGCCCCCTGTACTACCAGGGCTCCTTCGTATACTTCCTGGTTACTGCTAATCTCACAGAATGTATGAGAAGCATACCTTAGTTCCTGGCTCCAAAGCAACCCTTTTGATACACAAGAATCTAGTAGTAGTTGTCGCTTCTAAGCAGGGCTACTTGGATGCTGAAGGATAGAGTTGGGAGGGAGACTTTATTTTTATTTTATATGGTTTGAATTGCTTAACATGCATATGTTTTACCTATACAATAACATAAACATATAAATAAAATAAATACAGTAAAATGTAAAAGAATATCTCTCCCTAGGAGAAACCTATGTTAAGATACTCTCCAGACCTATACTAATTGAACAGATCTGTAGTGGTAAAACAATCCTCTAAGAGACTCACACACAAACCAGTCCTGAAGGATCCCCACAGAAGCTTTTAACTGCTCTATCTCTATGAATTATTTTCCTTAGTATGCATCTCACTGGTCACGCATGTACTAGATGGAGTTTTTGAAGGGGAAATTTCCCTAGATATACATCATTTCAGTCACAAAATTGTGATTTCTCATAAAAGATGGAATCGACTCTCTCATTAACAAATGACTGACTATTCACAATGGTTATGCACCAGGGTGTTTCTGACCAAGCATGTGTTGGCTCTTATCTCAATATAGTCACTGCTGTATATGTCCCTGTGAGAAGCTAAGACATCCAGAGCTGAACCTATGAGGATTAAACATTCCTACTGCTTCTGCTTCTTGAGTTTGAGGTGTTTATTTACCAACCACAGGGAACATGAATTATACAATGTAGAGTGATAGCTGTGCTTATCTACTCATAAATACAGAACTCCTTAGTTCTCTAATGCACTCTCCACACATCCTCACCCTCAATGTTGTTGGCAAGGTTCCCCACAAGCAGACCCACAAGATGAGGACTCTTGCCTTCCATGCAGGAGACCTGTCTTCACTTCCTGGTCAATGTGCCTCATGCACAGACACCACCCATCTGTCAGTGGAGGCTTGTGTCTTACTATGATCTTGAACAGGGGTGCAGGACCTTCCTTTAAAAAAAAAAAAAAGTTTTTATTGTGATAAACAGTTTGAGAAGTAAGGTGAACTTGACCCAAGTCACAGTGCTTTCATTTGCCTCATCTGCATGTGAAAGTTGGACAATGAATAAGGAAGACCGTAGAAGACTCAGTGTATTAGAGTTATGGTGTTGGAGAAGAATATTAAAAGTACCATAGACTGCCAAAATACCAACCAAATCTGTGATGGAAGAAGTATAGTCAGAATACTCCTTAGAAGCCAGGATGGTGAGACTTTGTCTCTTGTACTTCAAACATGTTATCAAGTGGGACCAGTCCCTCAAGACAGACATTATGCATGATAAGGTGGAGGGTCAGCAAAAAGAGAAAGACCCCCCAATGAGATGGATTGACAAAGTGGCAGCAACAATGAGTTCAAACATAACAACAATTGTGAGGCTGGCACAGGACCAGCAGTGTTTCACTCTATTGTGCATAGGGTTGCTATGAGTTGGAACTGACTCGATGACACCTAACAACAAGTAAATGTGAGAATATTCTGTGTTTTTGGGCTGGGAGATTTTATATTGTTAAAATATCAATATTATTGAACTCAATCTCTAGATTCAGTGGAAATCCCATCAAAATTCTGACAGCCTTCTTTGCAAACATGAAAAAGCCAATCATCAAATTTATAAAGAGCTGAGAGGGATCCTGAATAGGTAAAGCAATCTTTAGAAAGAACAAAATAGGAATGACTCACACTGTCTGATCTCAAAGTATACTGCAAAGCTACAGTAATAAAAGCAGCATGGTACTGGTATAATGATCTGTATATTAAGCAATGGAGTATAATTATCTAGAACCTGTAGAAACATGGTAGGTGTTTTGGCCCAAGGTTCCCATCCCCACAATTTTTCACCATCCACAGCTATCCTTGGCCTGCAACCCTCAAGGAGAGGCTCTGGGTCAGGCTGTGTTTGCACCAAAATTTGAAGAAGGTGGCTTAGGTAATCATTGAAAAGTATTACATTTGCCTGGGCAACGACTTCCACACCAACAAGTGGGTGGCTGTGCAAAGAAACTGCCATTATTCCTAGTAAGAAGCTCCTCAATAAGATTGCAGTTATATCACACGTCTGATGAAGCAGGTTCACAGGGGCCGGTTGAGAGATAAAACCATCAAGCTATAGGAGGAGGAGATAGAAAGGAGAGAGAATTATGTTCCTAAGGTCTCAGCTCTGGATCATTAAAGTAGATCCTGACACTAAGAAAATTCTGAAGTTCTTGGACTTTGGAAGTCTAGCCAACCTGCAGGTCACTCAACCCACAGTTGAGATGAATTTCAAAACACCATGTGGAGCTGTTTAAATCTTTCTACTATGCTGTAGTATTTTCAGTAAACCTGGGGACACCAAAAAGTAGAAGTGAACTCATATGTGTATGGAGTCCTGGTGTGGCACTGTAGGATAAGCACTAGATTGTAAAGTCAGTTTGAACCATAAAGTTGGTGGATTAAATTTACCAGCTGCTCCTTGGATACCCTATCCAGGGTTACTATGGATTGGAACCAACTAGATGGCACTTAACAACAACAACAACGGCAACAACATACATGTATTGTCAGTTGATTTTGTTGTTGTTTTTATTGTGAATTGAGTGATAGTTTATATGGGAGAATATACATTTTACACTC